TAATTTCGATAAATCCACAATAATACATGTATAAATTGAATGAAAAAAAGAGTTAGATAAGGAAATTGAATGACAGACACTAATCGGAAGGGATAGTTCAAGTCTTACTATTCTGTGTTCATTGCGATAATGCAATGAGGAAATATTGCAAAATAATAAGAAATGTGACAACAGAACTTACTATTCTGTATTCATGGCGATTACAAGCACACGAAATTCGCCGGAATATGAGGAATTTAGCGGCGGATATTGATCCTTCGCGGCAGAATTCAGATGCAAAAAACAAAGAGGCTGTGGGGGAGAGAGAGCCACTGGAAATTGCAACGAAGACACGTAAATGGAGAAGATGACATAAATGGTCCCTAATGTTTAGTATATATCTAAGATAGTCCATTAAATATACCCTTCACCAATTTTAGTCCTTTAAATTAGCCAAAGATGACCCATTGACACCACAACCCAATGATTTATCCTACCAAATGATTAAGTGTTCCAAACCGGTAGGAATGGCAATGAAGCGGTGCGGGTTGAGCACTTGAGCTTAATCTGTAAAAAAATTTGGTTCGTCTTACTTCGTTCTGTATAATAATATTTTTTATTTTTAATTCGTTCTATCCTGGCTCGCATAGAACCGGTTCGCATGAAACTGCCTCGCATAATTTTTTTATATTTTTTCTAGTTATGTTTGATCCTAAAAATAAAATTCATAAAAATAAATTCATTTTTCATTAAGTTGTATTAATTTAATAGGATAGTAACTTAAACTTTTTTTTAAAGGTCAATAGTGAAACATGCAAGAAATTATATTATTTTTTATTGAACGATTTTCACTTATTATCTTAAATATCTAAGTAGTTTTAATGAAATTATCTCAAGAAATAATGCTCTATCACTCAATAACATGTAAAAAGTTAAAATTAAGTTTGAAATCATATGAAATCACAAATACCTACAACCCGCCCCTCCGTATATTAATTTTTTTTAAAAATCATCGGCTCCGCCCCATAGCCTCAAACCTACTCCGCCCTGCATCTCCCCCGCCCCATTGTCATTCCTAGAAGCCAGGTTTCAAATTTCATTTCTACTTTTATTTGATGATAAATTTAGTTGAAATTTAAAAAAAAATACAATGAATTTTTAAAGTTCTGTTAAATAATAGTTATTGAATTTTAAAATTATGTTGAATAATAATTTTGAATTTCAAAATTATATTTGCATGTGTATTTTATATGAAAAAGATAAGTAAATTATAAGTATTAAGTGAAATTTCACTAAAAGTAATTTTGGTCAAGTTTTTGAAGATAATTAAAAGACCGATCAAATTTTATAAATGATTTATTTTTTAAATTTACTCCCAAATTCTATGGCTAAAGAAAAACTAAAGTTTTAAAAGATAAATTTATCAATATCTATGTTGATGAAAAATAATAAATACCTAATAAAAATTATTCGAGATATGTATATAAATTAATCCGATACCATAATTATGAAAAAAGAAGATAAATTTAATATATGCATGTCGTAATAAATTTATTAAATCGGTAGATTGTCCATTTACTCAAAGATATGAACAATTTATATTCATGTATGTATATTTTCTATGCTCCATGTAAATTTATTAAATCGGTAGATTGTCCATTTACTCAAAGATATTTGAACAATTTATATTCATGTATGTATATTTTCTATGCTCCATGAATCATTTTGTATGAAAATGTATCCATTACTCCAAATATTTAACATGATTACTTTTGAAGTGATTTTTTAATTTATAAATAAAATATTTATTTATTATGACATAAAATACACTATAAATCACAATAATTAATAACTTGAAATATTTGAAAAATACACGCACACAAAAAAAATTGCCAAGTAAATTATGACACGTGAGATCTTTTAAAATTATGTAAAAAAAATTACTATAAATCATAATAATTAATATCTTCAAATATTTTTAAAAAATAATTTAATAAAATTTAATTATATCGCATAAATTAAAATTAAAAAATAACATATATTAAACTCGTACCGATACGAGTCAATATACATGTAACATGCATGACAGAAGAGTGTTATCACTTATCTCATCTGCATAGTGGTAAGTTTATTTATTTTGTCCACACTTGCGTGATCAACTTGCAAACAAGCTAGCAACAGCTCTCTAGGACTATAAGATATTCATATCATAGTATATAAATATATAATATGATCATATTCATAGTTGTTTTGTAAATCTGCTGATTTTTTTTCCATTTGCCAAAAGATGCTTCGAAAGCCAATAATTACTATGCGATTTATTTTATTATATCTTTAGTTCATATGACGTACTAAAAAACGATTTTTCAAATTAAATTATGCATGAATTTAGTTGATTCAATCAGAGGCAATTACAGCTTTTTTGATATTGAATTCAATTCAATGAATATAAAAATATATAATTTTTAAAAATTATAATTAAATAAATAACATAGTAATAATTTTAATCCTTAATTTATCTGTGAATCCATATCTATAGCACGGACTTCAAATATTCTTTAGTGAGCATGTAGTAGCATTTACGCATGTAACGTAAATCAAATTCTCTTAAGTTAGTTAAAGATGAGTCTGATTTTATATATATATTAAATTAATTGAAAATAATATTATCTATAATCAAGCCTATTTTTATTTTTTTAATAAAAAATAATAAACTAACTTTTTATATTACCTTGATATTTTAATGATCAATAGAAGAAATCATTCACAGTTAGAGAAACTAATTTATACCGGCTACAAATACTACAGAGTTATAATTTGCTATAACAAATTTAATTACAAAGATAATATAAAAATTACTAACAGTATATATAAGTCAATTAAATATTATTTTTTTTCCCTTTTAGGGAAGTGTGGGTTATACAGAGGCCCTGGTCGTTTTTCAAAACACTATGGACAGCCAAATTAAGCTCCATCAGCTTTTATATTTATTCACAAATATAAATATAGATTCGTATATATATATATATATATGATATAAATAAAAGAGCTTAGGGGCATTTGCTAATAAGGTGAGGAAGGGAAAATGAAAATACTACACAACATTTAGTAATATCGCCTCTAATGGATGTGGTGCAGTAAATAAATAAGATTATTTCATTCTTAATCAGAAGTCTCAAGTTTAAGCTTTGAGTATGGAAAGTTCTTTAATAAAGAAGGTTTTCCTTTTATAGTGTAAATCTGAAACATATCAGACTTTAATACGACTATCAACATGAGATTTGAAAAAACATTTAGCAACATCACATTGACGATCTCTTTGAGAACTCCAAATAATGAATGACAACAGGTTTTTCATGTATATATGTGTTGATTTGACTTTCTTTGACTTATATATAACAATGTGTGTGCTAATACCAATTATTTCCTTGCTAAATAGTTCTTTAATAGTAGCTAACAAAATTTTGGCTAATCCATCGTTAAATAGTTCTTTTATAGTAACAATTTTTTTTATTGTTTGGCCATTGAAGTTGTTATTTGCTAGTTCTTTCTTTTTTTGAATTAATGTTAATATTGATTTATTAAGATTATTTTTATAGTTTAATTTTTATATTAAAACCTGATTAAATTCAATACATATTAGAGGATTCATTTATGAACTCTTGAATGTATTTATTAAATTTAGTAAGAATATTTTAAATTTTGACATGAAAAAACAGCTCTTAAATTATGAGTTTTCAAATTTAATCACCTTTGAACCATTTTTTTATTTTGGTATATTTCATGTATCATACATAGATAAACTTGCAAGTGAAGGATTCATAAAAATGGGAATTAAAATATTTAATTTTGATTATGAAATTAATTCACACACACATGCAAAGTTAATGTAATAAGAGTTGTTTGGTAGAATATATATGAATAGTATTGAATAAGATATACTAGTTGTAATGTTGATATTAATATATACTGCATATTGAATTGATTGTCTTGACTTTCTTTAATTTTCAATTTGGTTTGATGTATTAAAGATAATTGTATCTTTAATCATACTTAATCATGTATTAAAAAATATTATATTACTAATATCATAATTTACTATATCTTAATTACTGATAAAAGTATATAACTAATATGAAAATCCTACAAATCAAATAATTAAATAATTTCATAATAACTAATACATACACCAAGTTTCTAATACATCCTATCGGCCTCTCCATAGATGTGAAGTTCATGGTTACTCAATATTAATTTTTCTGAAATAGTTTCCATTTCAATTAAAAACTTAATATCAGAGAAGTAATACATATCTTCCTATATAGCAAAAATAAATAAATAGAGGCATTATTCTTTTATAAAAGATTATTAAACGATATAGTGAATTATAATGTAAATGTCAGGTGAGTAACATTAGATAAAATTTAATCATGTTAAAATGACCTAAATTAATAATTTTAAGTGGACTGAAATAAATTAAATTAAAGTCAGAATATAATCCAATTTATTCAATTTTTATTTAATTTTTAAAATCTATGTTTGTTTATTATAATTTGTTTGATTATATATCAAATGAATTTATTATGATTTTATAGAATATATCAAATAAAAAATATCTTTTTAAACTATTTTTTCATGAGTCCTTTTGAACTAACTAAATAAAATAATTAGATCATTAACATGTCCAAATCAAATCATAATTTTATAAGCTGATTTTATCATTCTAAATTATAATGTTGATAGATTGATCGCAACTCTTTAATTAACATATATTTCCTTTACTTTTTGTACACTTATTGATTTTATTAAAAAAAAAATTGTGTATACTTATGTCACAAAAATAATTGCAACTAAAATAGAATCTTCGAAAACAGAAACGAAGAAAAATACTTTTCCTACTATGAAAAAAGAAATTAAAGTTCCACAGCTTTAAAAGTGTAAGCCGTTGATAGAGACACGTGTCACACTACTGTACCAAAATAAGAAAGTTCAATTTAGACCCGCGTAGCAGGCAATCAACCCACCCGTTCTCCCATTTTAGAAGCTTCTCCTTCAATTTTTCATCTCAGAATCAGAAAAATCAGAAAATAAGAAATGCCAATGGAGAAGATCAGAGACGTAACAATACAGAGAGAAGTAACCGCAAATTTTTCGAACCAATTTTTCACTTCTCTTCGTAAGTGTTCTTTTCGCCCTTACTTTTTTCTCGAATCAATTGAAATTCTCTCTATTTTTGTGTAATTGTAGTACTAATTATACTAAAAATTCAGGTAAATCTGCAATTTTATTTGTTTGCTATTCATATATCCTGAGATTATGTAAATCATACACAAAATCACTGTTTGTAATTGGAATGGACAAACTCAACTGCAAATTCAAGCTTATAGTAGTTTAATTAGTGGTTGATGATATGATTGGTGAGCATATTGCATAAATAATGTTAAATTTCTGAAGTATGCTGTTAATTTCTGAAGGAAGTAGAAATTAGAAATTAGAAGTTGGATCAATGAGGAAGCTAACTACTTAGTAACTCGCTTAATATATGATTAGTGCTCTTTTGAATAAGTCAATAGCTTTCTAAAGTTATTCGTATTACTCTAGGCAAAAGTGGTAACACAATAGTTGAGATTAGAATTTTCTTTTGCTGAAACGAAAAAATCATTACTAAATCAAATTTCAACTTCAAGGAGAAAAATGAGGTTCTTATCAAGATATTGGCTTGGATTTATGATCCTCTAATATGTTATTATATGTAAGATTGAAGAAAATACTGCTGTCCGATGGATTTAGCAATTTATTCTTATTTACTGAGGAGATAAGATTTCAGACGATGAACAACATGGTAAATTAGCAGCTTGAATTAGGATCAATAGCAATGACTTAAGTATTGTATACAATTTGTTTGTCTAAGGAATTAATTTGAAGTAAAAGCAAAAGCAAATTAGATGAAGAAATTGCAGGCAATTAGAGTAGCATTAACAACAATCTGAATTTTTTATAGTGCAAATGAGTTAAAAGCATTATGATGTGAAATAGAGTGAGTTATGACTGTACTATTTATTCCACTAACAGTAAGAAATATATGCAAAAAGAAGCAATTCAGTGTAAGAAAATATAGATAATTTGTCATGATGATTAATTAATTTGAAAGAGTTCTGAAATGATAACAGGATAGTGTTGGACCTCTGGGATTTGGCTAAGAACACCGTGATGAAAATTTCTCTATAGTGTTAGACTCTTCATATTGACATGCCAGGCTTATGAAACTTGAGTTTGAAGCACATTCCGTCTTGTCTTATTAGGAGAAAAAAGAAATAAGGAAAAAGATTATAATACTAAATTATTGTTATGCTGGTTATTTGCGAGCTACATGTACAAAACAAATATCGTTGGAAGCTGATTGTATCTGTATATACTTTATAATGGTAAATCATCCTAGTGGCTTTGCAGATCTAATTAGTTTAAGATCTTAATGAATTCTCCTTATCAATTTACTGTCAATAAAAAAATAAACATGTGTACTAGAGATGAATGTGATATGATTTACATTAGGAGTAAGCATGAATACCTTTTAAATAACTTGAATGCTTTAGTGTGATGAATGTATTGAATTTTCTGCTATTTGAAGAAAAAACTTAAAATTTTCAGCTTGTAACATCTATGTGCTGAAGTCTGGTGTTAGCCAATTGAGGTAAAACATTGGCTGAATAAAGATTTCGATAATTTATTATATGGTGTTGACAAATCATGCTTTCATAAATCTATCAAGATGAAATTTGTACTTAAAAATAAATGAACTGATAAACTTTGTTTGAAAATTTATTTGTCATAGTGAGATCTTGTACATGAAGAATGAAGAGACCCTGACGATTGATATTAGTATTAGAACAAATAATTACTAGTTATGTGCGTGTGTATTTAAACAGTACGGATACAGAGGTTGTGTGGCATAGAATTTGTTAAAGAAGAGATTTCTTGTATGCTTTGCTCTGCTCTGCTCTGCTGTTCATTTCTCATAATCTTCATGAGTTTATTTTTAATTTGTCTATATACTTAGCTTCTACGATATCTTCTCCAGAAATGAAATCTAGAAAATCACTGAAGCCTCCTTCTTTATAGGATAAGATATGTTGTTCATTGACAAGCTCTGATGCAGGTCTAACTTTTTTACCTAAAGCTAGACTATGAAGGCTTGCAATTGAAATGCGCTTTATTTCTGAGTTAACTGTTGCTCGATGAAGAACACTTTTGTATCTACCATTGCTCAATACTTCCATTTGATCTCCCAATTGAACAATGAGAGCCCCTTCAATGAGTGGAACTGAATGCCACTTTTCATCTCGATCCATGGTTTGTAAGCCCAGATGGTTTTGAAGAATGATCGTTAGCATACCGTAATCTGTATGTGGTGGCAATCCTAGAGTAAGATCTGGCTCAGGACATGCTGGATAGCAATTGACTGCCATGACCTGGGAACCTTCTGTAATGTCTTCATGTAAGTAATTACTGTTTAGTCCTAAGCTCTCAAATATCATTTTCATGAGTCCTTCTTGCAACTTTTGTGCTGCCACTGTGTAGTTTCCCATTTTCTTCCTGCATGAAGAATTTCTTTAGTATCTTGAAGAAATTATTTCGTTCTTAAACAGTAAGAAATTTAATCTACAAGACAACTTTTATGTTAAACATATTTCAGTAAAGAAAATGAAAGACTTACTTGTAACTTGTGGGATTTGATGGCCAAAAGTCGAGCCACGTTGAGGTTGGATTAGCATAGTGCTTGAGGAAGTCTCTCCAAAAGTATACTTTGTCTTTGACATGATTTAGACTGGTACCATATCTTACGGGGTCATGAACATTTGAAGACAAGAGATGTCTTTTCTCTTCAGTTGGTAAATTGAAGAATTCACTCGCAACTTCTATGGCATCTTTCATGACTGACATTGGGATTCCATGGTTAATTACCTGCAAAATCATTTATTGCATGCATGGTGTTATTTTGCACAGGTGAATTTGTGAAGAACGTCAGATTTTTCTTCCTACTAGACAATCTAAGTAGCTGAAATCTTGGGCATTGACTTGTTTTTAGTAAATTTGATCAAAATAAAGGTTAATGAGAAGACAAAGGGGATGAGGCCTAGAACCTTAATGCACCATGTGTGACATTAAGTTATTTCTGTATGTTGATGATATGGCATCATCTTTTTTCTCACTTGGGGCATGCATATACTTCTTATTTGGATCCTATCGCAAGGAAGGAAGTAAATGAATAGCGTAACATTATCTTATCTAGTATGCAGTTGCAGGGTGACATGGACACGACACGAAACTGCATGACAAGTAGTACCTGGAAGAAACCAAATTTCTTGCAAGCCAGGTGTACTTCCTGAATTATCTGAGATCGAAGATGAGGGTATTGCAGATAAGATAGATCCACAATTGGCAAGGTACAATTGGGCCGTAAGGATGGTGGAAGGATATAACGCTTGGGAACACAGGTTAGTTCCTCTTCAGTAAGTGTCATGGCACTAGTAAATGAACCATTTGGTGAAGCTGAACTTTCCATTATTTTTCCCATGCCTTATTGTGTTATTCTTCCTGTATGTTCCATATGACTTTTAATCCCTCCCTATTTATAAGGAGGAAAATATGAAGATATGGTTGGAGCTTTTAATTATTTATCGAGATATATGTAATGAATATATATGCGTATAATGCTATGGATAGGACTATAACTATATTGTATATAGTCATACATGAATAGCCAAAGTGTGAAATATTTCAGGCTTGGTAATTGTCGGTCTCCATGTTGAATCCGATAGTGCAACTATGTTCAGATTCAACTGGGTGTGACTCCACGCGCCATGAGAGAGACTGGTGATCTAATTTTACGCGCGTACGTAGGCACTCTGGATTTTGGAACATTATTCTTTTTTACTTTAGTTTCCTATCTGGGAAGTAATTAACTCGCTGCCTATTTGTTCAGTGCTACTCTTGTGTTTAGGGGTGTCAATAAGACGATTTGGTTGATTATTTTTAAAAAATTATATGATATCAATTGTTTAAATATTTTGTAATGTGTAATTAAAAGTAAAAATTTTAAAATCATATCGATTTCTCTTTGATATTAATTCGATTTGGTTAATTTTTTGTCTTTCTGCTTTTAAAATGTTACATAATATATTATAAATAAAATTGTTATTCTACAAGTATGTTTTTGAAGAAGCACTTCAACTCTCCTATCAATTAAATAGTTAATTGTTAATGTGTTGTTAGATTTAAACATTTAAAGGAGTGCTTGCATAAGTTTTCTCTTTGATGAAGTATGAAAAAATTTATCATTGTAGAGGCACAACCAACCAAAGGTTGTGACGCTCCATTTACTTTTTAGACACATGGATAAGTGGGTCATTTTTTACTTTAAAACAAGAACTTCCTATATCGAACAAGAGAGAGAAAATATATTTACTCATAAATTGAGTTGAACAAATATAAAAAATGCAAGAAAAATTGTGTGTGAGCTATTTTCTTAATTATTATTATTAATATAGTGTTATTGTTGTTGCAGTTGTATGTCAGTTTGACAAATTTATTTTGATATGATTTTTTCTTTTTGGTGTATTAAGTTATTGTGTGTTTTTCTTAAAAAATTCTTTCATAATTATTGTGATTTTAGAATGTAGTCATTTTATTTTAATTGTTATAATCCGGTATGTTGATTATTACCTTATTTTTAGATTAGAACTTCCACGAAGGAAAGTAGTTTTTATTGTGGAGATGTTTGCTTAAAACGAAGTGTCACTACTCAAAGAAATAATTTTTAAAAAGTATAGTCATCCTAATAACATTTTTTCAGTTCATTTTATATCAATTGAAGTAGAATGATGTACTATTTTATATAGTTTGTATATTTTATTTTTATCATCATTACATTTTGATCATTAATTTTCTTAATAAAATAGTATTAACACATTCTCTCGAGTACATTTTATTTATTTTAATTTTTAAAAATATTGCATTACTATTGTTAAATTTGTGATATAGTAAATTGTTTTAATTAAAGATGGCTAGATATAAAAACAAAATCAAGATCTAAATACTTTACTTTCAACATCAAACATGGTAAATTATAAATTCTCACAAACTCAAATAATGAAATAAAATCGTCAACGAACAGTGTCTGGTTCGATAATCTTGCAGAATGACCATTTGGCCCTCTATAAAAGCCGGCGAGTTTCTAATTAAAAATTGTGCGCAAAAATATCAGAAAATAGAAAATAAATAATGGAAGTAGAGCAGATATTTAATTTGAAAAAATAATATAAAAATCAATCAGATTAACTGATCAAATCCAAAGTAGAAGCTGTATTGGACAAAAAAACTAATGCATTGTACCCTTTTTCTCCCGAACATTACGCGCTCAAGTTCATGTGTCGGCACGCGCTTCCATGTCATAAATACATGGTTGTTCAAAAATATGCATATTTTGAGCATACATAGCATTTAATATAATACATTATAACTTATAAGTTTATAATTTAAGTGTTAAATTATACGGTAACCTATCAAACTTAGTTTTTATATTTGGGGATAGAAATGAATGAGGAGTTTCGATTTTAGACTTCGTCAAAACTTTTGAGTTATTCATAACTAACTCAAGCTTTCAAAAGAGAGAGAGGAACACTTAGTGAATCATCACACAATCAAGACTTTAATAAATTCCATGCTTTTTTTAGGAAGTTTGCAAAGCGAAGTTATATATGATTATATTTCGAATAATAATTTTACTATCCAACATAAGCTCATGAATGTGAATTTACAATGTTACAAATAAAAATTCAAGAATTAGTGTAATTTACAATGTCTATTTATAGTGACAGAGCCAGAATTTTTATTAAGAGGGATAACCTAATAAGCAGAAAGGTGCTTGATGGTTGAACGGAGAGGTCTTAGAAAATCGGAATTCAAAAAGGTTGCTTACATGACGTTAGTGGAGTACTTAATAAGACGAGGAGGAATAGAGAAAAGTAAAAGACGTCAAAGAAGGAAGTGAAACTAGTGGTTATGACGGCTAAAAAAATCTGTAACTTCAGGTACTTGAGAGGATTAAATTTCTTAAGAAAATACGGTGAAACTAGTAGTCATGACTTGAAGTCTTTGAACTAAGTGAAGTAAAGTGTATTGAGAACAAAAATGGTGAAATATAGAATAGAATGAATACATTAGAAAAGAACACATGCAAGAAAAATATGATGAAGTGGATGATTGAGTTGTTTAATGTTATTTTTAGAACAATTAAAATGAGGGATGAAATTGTGTTGTAGTACAGTAACAAGAGTGATATTTAGATCTTGCAACAATAATAAAGATATTAATTAGATACTTCAGCCCTTCTTAGAAAGTTCGGGACAGTAGTCATAGTAAGGACGAGGAGAGGTTTGTCTATTTCAAAGAATCAATTTGAATTCATGACAAGGTAATTTTAACTATAAAAGGTATTTGTTTGTATAAATATTGTTAGAGTAGTATTGTAAGAGCGATATAGACATCGTATTGATTGGCCTAGAAAAGACATATGATATAATCCTTAGGAGGTCCTCTCGAGATATTTGGAGTTTAGAAGTGTAATTGTGACTTACATTAATGTCACTGTGACGATGTACGATGGAGTCAAAACTAACTTTAAAATAGTAGGAGTTTGACTTAGTGGATTTGTAACAGAGATTAGTCCTTAATTAACTCATTTTTATTTGCCCTACCGATGGACGAATCAACATGACATATTCGAGAAGCAGTGTCGTAGTGTATGTTATTTGTAAACGACATAGTATTGACTGACAAAATGCATTATGGAGTTAGTGACAAGATGGATTTTCAAGTTTGGATGTAAAACGTATCTAATCGTATTCATACGCTCCATCAAAACAAGTAATTATAATTCAAATGTCTATAATAAAATTTAATTGTTAACAAATTTAAAAGAACATCAGTGTTTTAAGCCTTATATACTAACATTAGTTACGAAAAATCTATATGGTACGCGGGTTCAATATTTTCTTTACAAACTTATTTTTTAAGTGATGATATTTAAAAGATTTAAAATCAATCTGATTACGTGTAATATACATAAATACATGAGAAATATTACTAATTTTGATAAATTCTAAATGCTATTAATCAAATGCTTTTATATTTTTGCTCCAAAATAAGTATTTTTCTTTATCAACTGTTGAATTTTTACTCAAAGAAGTTATAAAATATTTAAATTTACATAAATATTAGCCACATTCAAAGTAATAAAGGTATAACCAAAGATATAACTAAAATGGGTCTCATAATTTCGTAAAATTTATATACTACTTAATATTTTTATCCTTTTTTTTGGAGCACTCACACTTTTTTGCTATCTTAGTGACTCGAACTCACAACCTTTAAGATTCAATATATAAATATTTATCATCTAAGTAACCTTCTCTTATCAATATCTTAACTTTTTATAGAAAAATATCCGTATACATTGATAAAGACGCATCTACTTTATCAAAACCTCTCTCTTATATAATTAGAGAATTTAAAAGATCGACATGTGAACAAGTTGCAAAGAAATCCCATATATTTGTTTCGTCATTAAATGCAGAAATCCCATAAACCGCAATATGCAGTTGTTTTGTAAATATATATCGTCTGCTGGTTTTGATTTTATTTATTTTATAATAATATGCAAAATGAAAAAAGGAATATAATAATACCAATAAATATAAAATATAATACATGACGCATGCACTAAAGGACATTGAAATATATATCATCCAAAACCATATGCATGCATGAATCTGATTTTCAAAAATTTCAACTCATATTCGTAAGCATATACACTTTATGTCTGGCATCTCAATCTACTTTAATTTTTTATTATTGAGTATATTGATTTTTAAATCAGTGTCTACGCTGTTTTTAATTAATTAATATTTCATCTATATTTTTCTATTTACACTTTTATTAATTTAATTTTTTGTAACGTAAATTTTAAATGTTAATCATACTTATTTTATATTTAAACACACTCGACATGGCTGGTTTAATACCACGAAATTTAAGATATATTTATAGATATTTTTAAATGACAATTTTTTTTTTTTGTAATTTACATTTTTTAACTATTCCTTTCGTTTAAAAAAAATGACATTCTTTCCTTTTTAGTCTGTCTCAAAAAGAATAATTTTATAACATTTTAATTTCAATTTTTCACGTGGCATATTTAAGGTCACAAAATCAAAGGACAATTTTTCTTTATATTTGATCTAACTTTAATTTAAATTTCAAAAGTATTTTTTATACTGTTTAATTCCGTATCAAATCAAATTAGGTCACCCTTCGTAAAACAAAAGCGTAACAAGTCAGAAAAGGTCTAGCCTCCCCACCTCAGCCCACCAGGGCCCATTGTATGTTTTGTACCTTTTTTTTAAAAAAAAAAAGTGGGGTAGGCCTCTATTTTTTACTCCACTAACCTGAGAATGTAGAGCTATATAAATTCTTTATTATGAGAAGACAACTTTTGAGGAAAAAAAATAGTGAGGAAAAGAAACTAAGTAGAGCTATGTATATTTTGTCTGCAGAAGCAATGGCTTAATTTACAACTATAGGTGGCGTACGTATAATGCATGGTAAGTTAATGTGCATGGAATGTTCGACTCTCTCGCTCAGTTGAAAATTATGAAACAAATTTACGGTAATTTTTGATTGACAAGTTTTTTGGTACGTACTATTAATTGACAAAACTGCATGCATTTACTGATAGTATAAATTTATTTGATTCATTCTCTCATATATATGTTGATATATTCCTTTTCCATTAATTAATTTGTATAGTACATATATGCATGCATATAAATGATGTATTCGACGTTCTTCTTTTATGTTTATAACTTCAACAAATCAAACATGTGTAATAATCTATAATAAAGGTCAATTACACATGTTTATTAATTCTATTGCATTTAAATATAGATGATTTGTTCTCAAAATAAAAATGTAATTTTAACCATTACTTCTTTTCATTCTTTCTTTAA